CACACACACACACACACACACACACACACACACACACACACACACACTTTGGTTGTGTATGTGAGAAAGCTTGTCTTTCTCCCCTCCCATTACTTTCTTATTTTTTCCTTCCTTTTCTTTCTAGACATCTTGCTCTCATTTAAGAGTGCCCATTCTATTTTCCTTTTGTATATAGATACATGTCTATTTATATTTGGATATAGATTCTTCATAATCAGGATAAAACATAGCATTTGTTCTTCTGAGGGCTATCATTTGTGTGTGTGTGTGTGTGTGTGTGTGTGTGTGTGGTGTATGCACATGAATACACAGGTTCATGTGCCTGCGCATGCACATGCAGAGGTTGGAGCACAACCTTGGGTATCTTTTCCTACCACCCTTTGCCTGACTGCTATGAGACAATGCTGGAGTTGCAGGTGTTTGGCCCTGCCTGGCTTTTTATATAGTTGCCTGGCAGTCTACTCAGGGCCTCTTGCTTGGAGAGCAAGCTCTCTTCCCTACTGAGCCATTTCTAAGGTTTTTTGTTTGTTTGTTGATTTGTTTATTTGTTTTGAAACAAGGTCTCATTGTGTAGACCAGACTCGCCTGACCTCGTACTCACTTTGAAGACCAAGCTGGCCTCGAACTCACAGAGATCTGCCTATTTCTACCTCCCAAGTGCTGGGTTTAAAGGACATGAGTCTCCATGCTCAATTTCAGAAACAGAAACAAATGGCTAAGTTTTGTCATTAGCATGTTAATTGCATCATACAAGTACTTTAGGTACTTAAAGTCGTTTAAAATAATAAATAATGATTGCCTAAAACTCTTGGGATTAGTATTGAAACTGTTTTTGGGATATTTTTCTATTATGTGAACCTGTTGGTGATCAGATGAGTATAGGACAAGCTTGCCTTGCAGATGTGGTTTAGAGTTGAAGTGGACATTAAGACTGAACTAGGAAGTCAGTTCTTTCATTCATATGTTGTGCCTTTATTTTTCCTCACAATTTTTTTTGCTTTGTTTACAAATCTTGAGTATGTTTCTTAATAATTTTAGCATTTCCTATTTTTTTTTTGTGTTTTCTTACTATGGTAGAAGACTGAACTAGGAAGTCAGTTCTTTCATTCATATGTTGTGCCTTTATTTTTCCTCACAATTTTTTTTGCTTTATTTACAAATCTTGAGTATGTTTCTTAATAATTTTAACATTTCCTACTTTTTTTGTGTTTTCTTACTATGGTAGAAGAGAATACTGTTTAATTCTTTAACCCCCTGGCCTAAGAGAACTCTAACAATAGCTTCCTGTTTAAAAATACAGATTGTTTTTGCTGTTGTTGTTTTGTTTCCATGAGTTCCACATCCTTTTGTCACAGAGTCAGAGAGTCTGCCAACAAGCCTATAAACCTAAGTGATGTAATCGTGGACGTCATAGTCCTTTTCTTGCATATGTTCTTCATTAGAAGCAAGTCATAGATCTTGCCCACACTGAAGGGGTGTAGATTACTCAAGAATGTTATTATTTTAAAATGCCAGATTTTATGAAGCTCAGGCTCACCTTAAGCCCACGGTATAGCCGAGACTCTTCCTGCCTCTATTTCCCAAATGCTAGGATTGCAGCCATACACTGCTATGCCTGCCTCACTTCCCTGCTTTTTCTAGTCCATTTAACGGAAATTTAATAGAAATTAATACTCTTTTCTTTTATGAGCTGTTGTTGTTGTGTGAGCTGTTGTTGTTGTTGTGTGTGTGTGTGTTCCGCATGAGTACAGAAGAGGGTGTCAGGTTGTCTGGAGCTGGAGTTACGGGTGGTGCGAGCCGTCCAACATGCGTGCTGGGAGCTGAAATCTTGTCAACTGGAAGAGCAGGAAGCACTTTTAAACAGCTGAACTATCTCTCCAGCCCTTAATTAATACTGTTTAAAATGCAGCTTTTAAACTTTCCATAAACGACTGGTGGTTCTTTATTGCCTACTGACTAACTTTAGATGCTCCCATAGGCAGCCTTTCATCCAGGCCTTGCCTGGTTCTCATGTGTAGGCCAGAGGCAATGTTGCCTGCTGTCCTCTGCCATTCTCTGTTTATGTTTTCAGACAGCGTCTGTCCTAATTTGCTTTCTGTTGGTATGTCAAACCTCTTAACTAAAACTAACTTGGTCTAGAAAGGGTTTGTTTGGTTTACATATAGCATTCCCATCTTTGGAGGAAGTAAGGACAGGAGCTTGAAGTAGAAACTATGGAAGAATTCTGCTTACTGGCTAGCTCCCTTTGACCTCGCTCAGTTTGTTTTCTTAGATGGCCCAGGCCCACCTGTCTAGGGATGGTGCCAGTCTCAGTGGGCTGGGCCCTCCCCCATAAACCATCAGTCAAGACAATTCCCCACAGACATGCCCACAGCTGATGGGACAGTTCTCCAGTTCTTCTGTCTTCCCAGATGACTCTAGCTTGTGTCTAGTTGGACACTAAAAACTAAGTAGCAGAGTGCCTTAACACTGAACCCTGTGCACAAACTGAGCTAGACTAGCTAGCCTGTGAGCTCCAGGACCCCTCTTATCGTGATGGCGCCTCGGAGCCAAGTTCAGGTCCTCGTGCAGGCACAGCTGCTTCAGCCTGAATTCCCATTAGTGCTCTAACTGAAATTTAACATTCTGTTCAGAGAGTATCACATTGTGTTGATGTTTCATAAGCAGTTGGCTTTTCCCCCTTCTGTCACAACTTGGCTATATCAGTTTTTCTACAAGGAATTTTTTTCCTTTTTCATTGCACAGAAAAGAAATTTTGTCTTTCCAGATATGTTTCAAATACTGTATTTTTAACAAACTCTTTTCTAATCCTATAAACAGATGGAGGTATTTTTGAAGCTATAACTTTTAAAAAACATATTTTCTTGTATAAATTTGTTCCTAGCTTTTCTTTCTTGAGACAGATTGTGTGTTTACTTGTGATACTGTGGCTCTGTTCCTTACATTTGTCATGTGTATGTGGTTAGTGTGTTTGTAACTGTGTATCCAGTTCACAGGAAGCGGTGTATGAACACTTACCAAATTAAAGATCATGTCATTTGAGCAAAAATTGTTTCTTCTCCTAAAAGTAAGTTAATTGTGTTAGGCTTCAGAGTAGTAATATACTTTACTGGATGAGAAGGAAGGTTCTAAAGGTCCACCTTTTAAATAGTTCTGGGCCAAAAGCATGCTTTCCCACTTTGTTCTAAGCTTTAGACTTGTTAACTATCAATGCAGGTTTCCTTAAAAGGTGATATTTATTGACAAATACTTAACTTGAACCAATTGACTTCTTCCTTAATATCTTCTGTGGCCTTTAGGCCACTAGTTTGTCAAATAGGCCAGTCAGTTATCTTTAACTTCTTTATTCAAGTTCTCAGGACGCAGGCAGAATGCAGCCATACATACTACCACATACACTCTTAACCCAGGTCCTAGCTGAGCTTGTTCCTCCCAAGCCTCATGACCTAGGCCTCCACTGTCTGTCTGACATTCTTCTCTAGTTAGCCTGCACTTGGACAGCCCACTCCTTTCTTCTCAGTCCTCCCACAGAGAGTCACACAGCCAGGTTATCACAGCGGCAGACATGCTGCTGTCTTCTGCCTTCCTCTCCTGTCCTTTGCTGGGATGGGAAATCCCACTACAAAAGCAGCTTCAGGGAGAAAGCTTAGTTGGCTCACAGTTTCAGATGGCAGCCTGCCACTGTGGGAAGTCAGGACTGCAGGAACTTGAAGCAGCTAGTACATTACATCCCTATTCAAGAGCAGAGAGCAGTGGATTAATACACTCATGCTGTGCTCAGCTGCTTCCTCCATTCTTAGACAGTCTAAGATTTTCTGCCCCAGTGGCTTTTCCTGGCCTCTCTTCAGGGGATCCAACCCTTCTCTACAGTGCTAAGCCTTGAATTCTCTCTGAGACCCCTTGGTCTGTTGACTGAGGTTTCTGTCCTGCCTGGTTCCTGCAGTCATTAAGTCCCAAAGAAATCACACAGAGGTCTACATTAATTATAAACTGATTGGCCTAGCATCTCAGGCTTCTTAGTAACGCTTATAACTTATATTAGTCCATAATTCTTGTCTGTATTAGCCATGTGACTTGGTACCTTTTTCGGCGAGGCTGTCACATCTTGCTTGCTCTATGTCTGGCTTCCTCTGTGTCTGGGTGATAACTGCAGACTGAAACTTCCCTCTTTCCAGAATTCTCATTGCCCTGCCTCTACTTCCTGCCTGGTCACCCCACCTATACTTCCTGCCTGGCTACTGGTCAATCAGCCTTTATTTAAAATACAAGTGACAGGATCCAGACCATTGTCCCACAGCATTGGTCCTGGGGCTTCCTCTGCAGCTGAGGCTGCACCTTTACTATGGCTGCTCCAGACCTCTCTGCAAGAACTCCAACTGCACCATATGGTGCAAAGCAGCAGCTCCTTTCCATGACCTCTTCATGCTTTCAACCCCAGTACCATGTGAGGCTCTTACATCTTGTCATGTTCAGCTTCCAGCTTGAAGTTCAGCCTGGCCCTCACTGTGCGCTGGCCTCAGGGAAATACTTCCCAGAAGATTTTGTCTCGGTGATGCTGTACTCCTAATAATCGCAGATGACTCTTCAGCACTGGCTATTTCCATGGAGTCTTAATCCAGAATATCACGTGAACAGCCTGGGTAGTCTGTGCTTTGCTCTGAAGCTTCACAGCCAGAACTCCATTGTCTGAGTTTGAAGAGGTGACCTATTGATGAACGGATGCTTAAAAGAAATCCCACACTATCTCAGAATTGAGAAATAGATATTTATTTGGGCGTAAACTCACAAATCAGAATTTTCTGCTTGAACGGTGGACATAGTTTGAATCCAACAATCTGAACGAGCAGCCAGCCAGCGAAAAGGAGGGGTGGACGCAGGTTCTGCATCTGTGTATATAGTATAAGAGGCCAGGCCCCAGTAGGCAGGTAACCACAAGCTGCAAGCCTTCCTACAGCGCCTCCCCCTATTGTTTAAATAAGAGAGTTCTAAGCTTAATACAAAATTATATACAATAAGAACAAATATCTTATCCTAACTAGTTTAAGTCTTGTATAATGAATAACTTGGCCAAGTCATGAGAGGAAAGTAACTGCAATTATCTAGTCTTCAACCCCATCGAAGATCTGAAAAGGGAAATAATATTACTTAAGTAAGCAGAAAGTGCAATCAAGCAACTTCCAAAATGTGCAACAAATGACAGAGACAACTGGCTACTTCGGCAATCACTCAAAGTCTCATTTGCAATGTTGAAGCAACCAACTTTGGCTAAGGTCTAGAATAACTAACAGACTATTTTTAAAGACAAGAAATTTTCAAAAATCGTCTTACCCTTTCTTGGCAAGATTAGACAGTCTTGCTTATCCATTTTCAGATACTATGTATCTTGTTAGTGGTTGAGGCATGGGCTTTTTTTGCCCAAAGACCAGTTTTTGCCAAGAAGACAAGAAGCTCCAAGTGGAATGTCTTCGGTGCTCAACATTCTCTTGGGAATAGATTGGTGCTTCCAGGAGCAATTGTGTCTCACTTCAACAGAACTCTAAGTTATTTAAATGCCATTTTCTACAGCTCTTTGAAGTGGTTGAAGATTGTCTATCTATGCAGAATATGTATCTAAAGAACCTGATTAGTCTAACTAGAAGTATGACATAGATGACTATTGATCTGTAATTCTTAATGCCTATATAACTTACAGACTAAGACAATAAACAACTGTGCAATAAATGAGGACAGTGTCTTTCAAGTGTAAATAATGTATAAGTATCTTGATCAGAGGTAGAAATACAATCCATAGTATTAACAAAAAGGTACTAAAAGTTGCATTGGTAGTGAAGTCTGCCATAATGATTTACTTATTACCTGATTATGATGCGGTGAACAGCAGTCTTTACTGTCCAGCTTAGTTGTAGAGCTGTGGCTGGAAGCAATGCAACTGGTGGCAGAACCGGTCGTGGGCTGCTTTAGCTTCTGTCCTGGTACAGGTTAGATACTGAGGAATATGTGTTGCTTGACAAATTAAAACCAATTAAATCAATTTCATACGAGAAATCTAGGTGTGGAGAGCAGAAACAGAGAGCTGCACTAGTTGCCACACAGCAAGTAATCGCCCCTCCCCGGGGAATTCAGAGGTTGTGCGTACATGTGCTTGGGAAATTTCCAAGTCGCCACACTCAGCAAACTCCCCTGTGGCGGGGATTCTACAAAAATCCACTTAGGCAAAGGACCAGTCCGTCCACCCGGTGGGCATGGAGTTTAAATCCATGTGGGCGCCAAGTGAAGAGGTGACCTATTGATGAACAGATGCTTAAAAGAAATCCCACACTAGCTCATAATTGAGAAATAGTTATTTATTTGGGGGTAAAGTCACAAATCAGAATTTTCTATTTGAATGGTGGATAGAGGTTGAACAATCCAAAAGAGCAGTCGGCGAAAAGGAGGAAGAAAAGGGGCAGGCGCAAGTTCTGCATCCACACGTATAGTATAAGAGGCCATGCTCCAGCAGGAGGCTAATCACAAGTTCTGCATCCACACGTATAGTATAGGAGGCCATGCTCCAGCAGGAGGCTGATCACAAGCTGCATCCACACATACAGTATAGGAGGCCATGCTCCAGCAGGAGGCTGATCACAAGTTCTGCATCCACACATATAGTATA